CACTTGACTTGAAAGTGTGAATGGCATGTCCCATTCACGTCTCAAGTGTCCCATGTTTGACACTAGCCTTTGGACCAGCGGTCTCGAGCACCCTCGTATTTATTTAGGTATACTAGACGGTGAGAGCTAAGGACCGCAGTAAAACCGCTATCCTTCACACCTTTAAGTGGCGTGGAACTTCGCCCACTTGAGAATGAATAGGACACTTGTCTTTACCCAGGAAGTTAGGGGTCTTCCTCTTAATTCAAACAAAAAAGAACAGGTTGGGAAATTCCTTCTGTGCAGTCCAGTGCTGCAGACTAAGTGTCAAACAGGTACATTGAGGACCTATAATGAAACTGCAGGCTGCTGCCCGTCACAACTTTAAGTAGTCTCAAACTAGGACCCTTGAGACTTCATAGGACATTAGGCTTAAGGTTTGCTTGGTCATGGATCCTTTGCGTGACCTAAGGAATAGATATCTTCTGGTGATGCAGACCCAGAAACAGGTGTCAAACAGGTACATTGAGGAACTATAATGAAACTGAAGACTGCTGCCCGTCACAACTTTAAGTAGTCTCAAACTATGACCCTTGAGACTTCATAGGACATTAGGCTTAGGGTTTGCTTGGTCATGGATCCTTTGCGTGACCTAAGGAATGGTCAGGTACTTGAAATAAATATCTTCTGGGGATGAAGACCTAGAAACAGGTGTCAAACAGGTACATTGAGGAACTATAATGAAACTGCAGGCTGCTGCCCGTCACAACTTTAAGTAGTCTCAAACTAGGACCCTTGAGACTTCATAGGACATTAGGCTTAGGGTTTGCTTGGTCATGGATCCTTTGCGTGACCTAAGGAATGGTCAGGTACTTGAAATAGATATCTTCTGAGGATGCAGACCCAGAAACAGGTGTCAAACAGGTACATTGACCAAACACAACGACTGAAGAATGCTGTCCCTCACAATTACAATGTCAAACTTAGGGTACTTGAGAATGAATAGGTCACTCGTTTTTAGGCAGCTTGGATATGGATCCCTCGTACTCTCACAGGTAAGACGAGGTCATAAAAGAAATCAGGTAGTCGTTTATACTTTGGGTCGTGGATACAACAGCTTGAGATTATGTCTCTTATTGCCTTCAAGGGACAATAGCCCTGCTGTTTACTGAACTGCTTATACCTCGTCGCCTATCTTAGGTACTTAAACTAGTATTATTTGAGCCTGTTGTCCCTAATCTTAAGTGTCTGTTTCAAGTGGCTTAGTCACAACGAGACTCTCGAGCTGTTTGCCAGTGTATCTTTTGTACTTTGCCATAGAAATTAGTAAAGTATGAACAGAAACCAGAACATTTACCTGAATAATTATAATCCGAAACACTATTAATATTGATAAAACACTTATAGAAATGCAGTATCATGCAAACGGACTTAGACGTCGCGTTCTCTTGTCCTCTGACTCACCTCCGTTTCAGGTAGTTAACATTTGAAGTGAAGGACTGTCGAAAGCTGGAGAATGAAATGTTGCCGGGTGAAGGGGCTGTGCCACAGTATTTGGCGCAACCGCCGCGGCCGGTAATCTTGCTGGTTTAACGACGGACTTCGTCCCCTCGGCGAGAACCACAGGATTCCAGTGGTCCTCCGGGCGGGCAGGGGTTCCGGGAACGCAGGATCCGGGATTGTTCTCGGCTATCTTCGCTCTTCTAGCGTTACACCGATTCGGCTTCTGTTCGTACTCAGCGGAATAATGCTTCAACGTAAGGTAATCCGAAAGGAAAGGATGAAATAAGAGAGGTGAGGAAGGAGAAACTAAAC